CAAAAAAGGTACTATTTGAGGAATGTATAAATAAATGCCTGACTTATTAGGCTTCCCAAGAGTGGGTTGCAAGAGCTCAGAACAGAACAGAAGAAGCTTTCCCCAACACATATGACGATGTTCTCAGTGGAATTGTCAAGAATGAATCCTGACCATGGTTCTGGCACTGTGGCAGGTGCCTGAAGAATAAAAGGTTGAAGTCCTTGCTACTGGAGGAAGTAAGTTCTCCCAGTGGAGCTGTGGAGGAGAGAAAATTAACTCCAAAGAAATGAAATAGAAGTTGTATTTTCATCAAAAGTAAAATAAAATTTATAGGCACAATAAAAAATAAATGGGACTTTAACTCATTAGGCTTTGAAAGTTCCCTCAATTACCCAGAACATGTGGAATTAAGGAAAATATGTCAGATTATAATTTTGTCGTTCTAGTTAGTGTGGGTAAGCATGGAAGAAATGTTCCAGTGATCCTTACCTTCCTATAGTCCTTTACTTGTATAGGGGGTGGTAACTTAGGGACTGGAATACAGCATTAACTTTGGAGTCTAACAGAATTAGCTTAGAAGGGAAACCTTGCCCCTTCTAGCTCCTGTTACTTTGAAGCAATTTGAGCCTCAGTTTCCTCATCTGTAAATAAATAATATCTAACTGGCAGGATTGTCATAAGGACCAATAGAGAATGTGAATAAATGTCTAACAGCCAGCAGAGAGTTTGCCATGTAGCTCAGTAAATCATAACTATTATTTTGGTGTGTGCTCTATAAATAATCTATTTTTTTCTACAAAATTCTCCACCAAGTTATAACATGTAGAAGTTATCTCTGTTTGGCAGATGAGGAAACTGGAGCTTCAGCAAGGTTATACTCCAGATCCAAATTCAGAAAGCCACTTGCCATCAGACAACCACACCACATCTCCTACACTGAGTCACTGTATGGAGTTTGTCTAGAACTCCCATCCCCTTCTCTTACTGCTGAAGCTAGACATGTGTCCCTGCCTCTCACAGGAAAGAGAAGAGCTGCTAAGCTCTGCCCAGCTGAGAGCCTCCTCAAAACCCTATTACTGCTGAAACCTTCCATGCTCATGTTTTGTACCTGAACTTGCTTCTAGAGAATAATTTTCATGTTCTCTGTTGTTTTTATTGAGTGACCTAGAAGAGAACTAGAGGAAGTATAAGTTATTATGCAACTTACCTGGGTAAGTTTAAGATGCAACAGTTCGGTCCTGTGACAAAGAGCAAGTTGAGTTCATCTGCAAAGCAGGACCTGTCCAAAGGACAGTTCTGAGGATCTGATGTATGTTCTGAGCTCTCCTCTCAGCCTCTACTTCCTACCAAATACTGCTTTCATATTTCATGTAAATCCATTCATCACAAACCCTCTTCCATATAGCATCTCAATTTCCAACCTAATGTCACATGGAAGGCAGGAGACTTATCCCCTGGTTAGAAGAGTCCATGTATCCTTGAGCTGGTGAGGTGGTATTTTCATGGATCCTTCTTCACATTCTACCATTCAAGTGGCCATGTTCCCTGACCATCTATAGTGCCTCCCTAGTTTGGAGCGTTATTCATAGGTTTGGAATAAAGACCATGAGGATGCCAGGTGTATACTCCTTCACTCCAAAGCAGTAGACCATGTATAACTAGAGTTAACCTAGCAGAGAACTAGCTTGTGATATGTATGACATGCTCCCATTATCCTATGCAGCTTTCTTTTTACAAAAACCAATGAAAAAGAAAATCATTAGGGATCTAATATAAGCTGTCTTTGCCTGAGGCTGTCAAGCAATGACTTGAACAAAATTAATTGGTTCACTTAAACACACACACACACACACACACACACACACACACACACACACACACACACACATAATGTACCACCCAATTTCCCCCAGACTCCAAACTTAGAGGCTGAATCATTAAAAACAAAACACAATAAAACTAAAGTCTTGTTATCTTGCAACTCTTTGTCCTTCCCTAAGTCTAGTATCCACGAACAGTTTTGTTAGGGCCAGATGGTAAACAGTTCAAGCCTTGAGGGCCACGGTGTCTCTGTCGCAACTGCTCAACTCTGCCATTATAATACAAAAGCAGTCACAGACAAAATGCAAACAAATGGACTTGGCTCTGTTCCAATAATCCTTATTTATGAATTCTAAAGTCTGAATTTCATATGTTTCACTTGTTACAAAATATTATTCTTCTTTTGATTTTCTTCCAACCTTTTAAAAATGTCAAAACCATTCTTTGCTTGACAGCTGTAGGAAAACAGGCAGGGGGCTTGGATTTGGCCCCGGGGCTGTAGTTTGCCACCCCCTGCTTGCAGTTAGCACATACATTCAGATGACTTCCAAGGAGGAATCTCCACCAGCTCAAGGACCAGCTCAGCAGGGCCTTCTTCCTGGTTCACAGCATAAGGCCTGATCCCCAGGGGCCACTCCAGGTGTACTTCTTCTAAGAGTGGCTCACCTCATAAAAAAGATCCAGCAGTCCAGAAGACTTGATTTTGGGGTTAGATGTTGATCTGTTGCTTACAAAATTCTATCCTCATCCTTTCCCTATCCCAAACTACTGACCATGTACTTGCCATTGCTATAAGTAAATTTTGTAAGTTCATGTCACTGAACTTTTCCATACAAATAGTAGGCAAGTTTTCCACCTCTCAACCCCAGCTTTGGCTTTTGCTTACTCTCTGGTTGCAAAACAACAGGGATTTGAAGGATAATAAAGGTAACATTCTAATCCAATAGAGATCAGAGAATATTCTTGTCAGCTATTAAGTAATTAAGATTCAGTGCTGATAACTTTGTTCATTTATTTCTGGAAAGTAATAAATAAATATAGGAATGAGGTAGGAGTACAATATGAAGCAAGCTCCTAACAATTAAAAAGTTTCATAGGATATGCCCCTTACAGCATCATCATAAACCAGCACATTGCGTTGAATTTCAGGCCACCTTCTTTTCTGAGGTATGAAAATGCTTACTTGGCAAATCACATATTCAAATAAGCAATTTCATCTCCCTTTCAATAAAGCCCACAAAGGGCAACTAGCTCTTTGAGTGAGTATGACCTGCCTGAGAATTTCATATACGAGAACTGAGGTCCACAGCACTCTTCAGCTTTGAAATCATCCGCATGTCACAAATTCTAAAGCATTATTCTGGGGCATTCCAACGGGAGGAAGGCTATACTCGGGGAACAATTTGTGGCTTCAGGGGAAGCAGTACCTGATTGAGACAACTATTTTCTTTTTAGGGCAGTGATTTTGAGTTTACATACCCAAAACTATGGGCTGCTATTCAAATCCTGGCATTGATGGGCATGGAGAAAAAACAGTTACTACAGTTTTCAAGACTGGCCACCCACACAAAAATCCGACAACACAAAAAATTGGCCATTTCAGCAGCCAGAGACAAAGGCATTCATTTCCAAAGCTGAAAAGACGCAACTCCAAGGCAAAGCCTCATTTTCTAAGTAGAGACTGATTTAAACAGTTCCATTTTCTTGCAAAAATTTAAAAGTTTCTGCGTGTGTCGAGATTACCTTTGGTTTTATGATAGAGAAATCAGAAATCACTGCAAAGTCGTGATGGGGGGAGGGGAAAGCATACCCTCTATCCTCTGGTAAAACAAGCCAGTTGCTAAAGGTCCCTTTGTGTTCCAGAATGTTAAAGTAAGGTGAGCAACTGTCCCAGTTTGCCCAGAACTGAGGGCATCCCTGAATATAGGAGTTCCAGTTTTAAAACCAGGACAGGTTTATTGGGCAAACCATGAGGAGTTAGTCACACTAGAAAGTCTCTTCTAGCCCACATCTTTGGATTTTAAATGCAACAAATCAGCCAAAACACCCACATGAGGAAGGACACAAGCCCCAAACTAGAAAAATAATATGATTCCACGTGGTTTTAGTGAAAATGACTACCCTAAAGCTCAAAAAACCACTGGTAGCAAAAGTGCTACAGATCAGTTCCGGGTTATGAAGGAGAGACGTTCATTTGTCTGTGCCATTTTTAGCTAATACACCATGGCTAGAGCACAAGTAAATGACCAAATCTCAGGCACAGAGAGACAAAGACTAATTAACACCTACAACCTAGAACCCTAAGCCTCTGTCAACAAAAGGGCTTCTTCAGAGACTTCTCCTAGCCCCAAAGATTCTTGAAGACAAAAACTTTCTATACTAAGGCAGTTCTCTGTTATCATAGCTGAGAGCCACACCCCTCCCAGGAGTGGAAGTCACTGTAACCCTCTATGATATAAAATAAATTCAATGAAATATGTGCCCATTCATTCCCAGACACCACCAACCACTTCTCTAGCTGTCTTGCATATGCACGTTTGACTTCTAGGAGGAAAGTGACAACTGACCAAGTTCATTCAGTACTGCATCTTAAAAGTCCACAATGTGTGGGACAGATTCAGTTCAACTGCCTGCCCCTTTTGTTTCTCCAGTTCCAATCCTAATGCTCGTCAATGGCTTTCGGATTGATGATCTCTCAGCCTTATAAGAGCCTCAGTTACTATGAAGTCTGGGCTTCCTTATCAGATGAACAATTCATCTTAGAAAAATCATGGTAGTAATGACTGAAACCAAAGGAAGGTTTTAACAGTTTTGACAATTCTGATTGACCAAAATTTTTCAACATTGCACTCTTGATTACAAGAACAGATGTAAATATTAAAGAAAAAAAAGACCCAAAATGTTATGGTTTCATTGATCCAGCCAATTGGCTGCCATAAAATAAATAGGAACTCTCCATAATTGCAATTCTAGTAGCTGTTTTTTCTCAGGTGAGTAGAAGATACAATAATAAACTGGACATTATATCAAGATTAAATCAGAGGCATTTCTCCTGAGGCCTTAAATATTCTATCAAGGAGATTGGTAATTCCAAAGTAAATAAGTAATATGCAAAAAGACCCTAAAAAGTTGGGGATAAAACGGCAAAAACAAAGAAATAAACAAACAAACAAAACCTACAAGACAGGACTTCCTACCTTCTTTTTAGAGTGGCTTCTTTCTTCCTCCTTCGTAGCTTTGCTATTTTTCCCAGCACGAGACACCTTCTGGTCCCCAGACTGCTTGATGGTGATCTTGATCTCAGGTGGGCATATATAGTTCTCCAGATTCTTTGGGGGTTTCTTAGCCCGCTTTGTGGTCTGAATCTTCAGCTTCAAACTCCCCTCTGTGAAATTTGCCTCCTTGATAGAAAACTCCTGCTCCTCCAGGCCATCTCCTGCCACCCATTTCTCACTGTCTGCATTGGAGTTGGAATCCACATCCCGCCCTGAGCCCAGTTCATCCTCCTCCTCTGGCTCCATGCGTTCTCCACTCACTGGGATCCCCTTCCCAGGTCCTGGAGCAGAGAGCAAAGGTTCTCCTGCACAGCCAGGAGCAGCTGGGGGCTTGGCTGAGGAGACTGGCAGGAATTCCGACTCTCCCCCTCTTTGCCGGGAGCTGCTTAAGATCTCCCTGGACTCCATGACAGTCCTACAGTCTTCAGGAGTTCTCAGGAGGGGGAAGGGGAAAAGGAAAAGGTGAGAAGAGAGGACACCCAAAATTCCAAGGACAAAATGATCCAGCTACCAGGTTCAGAGTCCCAGGGATGGCGACACAGTGAGGTGTTCAGAAGAGATCAGATCTGCAACTGAGAAGCAGAGAGATAATTAGCCTTGGCAGGAAGGAAAACGACCCCCAAAGTTATTCAGTCTATATTCCAGAGGCTCTTTCCACTTATCTATGGCATCAGAAAAAGATGATGGGAAGAAACCCATCCAGAATGTGCACATCCCCCAGCTGGATCATGCTTGAGCAGAGGAGGCGGCACAGTTACACATGCCTTCGTAACGGATCGGGATTGATTTTTATGGCCATGGGCTCAAGAATAAAGATAAGAGGGGAGAGTCCTCCTGCCCAGTAACAAGCTAGAGGTTTCTTGTACTGAAGCCGCAGCTGGCTGAGTCATCGTCAAAACCAACCATGACGAAAGGGAAGTCTGAAGTGTTGACGCTCAGGTCTGTGGGAACCACACTTGGTTGGCTTCTTGCAAGACTTCCCTCTCACATGCAAAGAACAGTCTGCAAAGCTGAGCACAACCCCGAGATGCCAGGGCCAAGCTCTCCACCCAATTGGAGAAAGGACATTTAGCCAGCCTCTTCACCGTTCTTTCTGTATTATTTTTCATTATGCATTATTTCAATTTTGCAGTTTTCTATTTCTTAAAACAAATGCAAAGCATAGGTGCAAGTTTTGAAAAAGAAAAAAAGAAAAAGAATTCAGTGCAAAATCACTTACAATGCTGTGATTAATGCAAAACAAACTCAAAAAATATTTCCATACACACAAAAGAAAGATATTTAATGATTAATTTAGATAAAAATAACCATTCTAGACCGTTGTAATTCCCTTTCTAGTTGCTTAAATGAAGTGGCATTATGTCTGCATAACAGCAAAAGAGAAAGAGAGAGAGAAGGAGCATTTACAGGCCTTTGGAAGTGTCAGGAATCCCCCCATGGTCTTTCTCTCTACCTTCTTCCAAGATGAGAAGAGAAAAATCAGTTAGGCTCTTTCCAAACCATCACAGTACTGGTTAGACTACCCTTCACCCTATTCACCCATGTCCCATTATTCCCAATTTCATACTCATAATTTTCAAAGTCCAAAAAAATAATAATAATAATAAAATTGACTAAATATTCATTCTCAAGAAAAAGCCTAGAGTCTCGGGGCTGTACAAAACCTCAAAATGTAATGTCCTTCCACCCTTAGGCTGTAAGTTAGATCACTCAAGCCTTTTTAGCCAGCTGAACATCCTCTAAGTTTCCCAGCAAGAGATATTACTCTACATCTTAGTTTTCTACCTCTGAATCCATCAATTTAAAGAAATAGCCAGCAAACGTGTCCACCTGAAAATGTACGACAATGCCTGCAAAGACACATTCAGAACAGACAAGAACTGGAAGCCTGAAGACCGGGCATGTGTCTTTCTCCTCTGGGATCAGCACATTTTTGAGCTGACCGCCAGTGAGGAAGCCGGCCAGGAAGGCCTCCCAGGCTTCAACACGGACCCTGCTCCCCAGAGAAGCCCAGGAGCATACTTGGCTCCTGGAAACCACTCAGTCCTGCAGAAAGACACATTTACAACTGCTTACACTGAAGGGAAAAACCTATGAATACAGCTTTTCTGGGAGAGAAGAGATTGCCCTAGTGAGAGTGTGAGTATTTTCACTGAAGCTGTGGAACAGACACTGAACCTGTGACTCATGTCACAAAAGGGACAAAGTCCCAACTTGGGAGGGGGGTAAAGCAGTTGGACCAGATGACACTTGATGTTTCTTTTAGTTAGATTCTTTGTCTCATCTTGACTGATCTGCCTACCTGCCCACAAACTTTCTAGTCTTTAAAAAGTCATATTTAAGTCAGTACTCATTGAGACGTCTCTTACTAGTGTCAGGTCCTGTGCTAGCTGTTGTAGACATCAAGATGTCTTAGAACATGTCCCTGCTTGACAAGCGGTAAGGGTCCTGTAGGTCTTTCCCAGTCTGAAACCCAGATCCACACAAACTGTGAGCATGTTTTCTTACGGCAGTAATGTTCAGGGTTTATTTCCTTTGAAAGGAATCTCCAACATTATGTTTTAATTCTCTAGTACCTACCTATAAAGTTATATTTGGGTAAGGGCCAATGGTGAAGCATAGTCTCCATAAGAAGTTTCTAAACTAAATCTATTTGGATCTTTGAAGCAGAGTAGGGCAATGTATGTTGCAGATTCTGTGATGAAATAAAAGAAGGTAAAACCTAAATTTAGATGAATTAATGGGGGTATGAAGTGGATGTAGTACTAATATGAAAAAAGCATCTTCCATTTAAAAAATGATTCACCTCACAGTTCTTGTATTTAACTATATGGATCAGTAACTAGATGTAGAAAACAAAGTTCCAAAACTTAAAACTCAAGTAGTAGGAGATCCACAAAAAAATTAAAATTCAATTCAACAATTTTTTTCAGTTCTCAAGTCAAGATCCTAAGAAACAATGAAAATATAATCTCTTTCATCACAGAGGCAACACTCTTGTAGAGAGATTTAAAAAATAACTCTAAAACAAAGCAGAATTTTATATGTAGTATAATAAGAGATAGAAGCAAAAGGAGGAGAATGTTTTTTTTTTTTTTTTTCACTTGGGCAAAGTGTAGACAGATAGGAAACTACACAGCAAGGCGTAAAGGAGAGCAACTGGATGTGGCTTTGATCTTGAGGGTTTACATTGGTAGAGTAGGAAGAAGACAGAGAGGGTGGCAGGAGCCTGCAGGTTACCTTCAGAGAAGAGAAAGCTGATTTTGGCTAGGGGCTGTGGTACAAAATGGGCATGGTGAGAGGTATGGATGGAAATAGAAGGTTACAGCCAGATCAATGGACATCCTTGAATATCACCCTAATGAGTTTGAATTTTATCTTACAGGTAAGGGAAAGCCATTTAAGGGATGCCACTAGAAAAGGCACACCATCAAAGCTATGCTTTAGAATAGTAATTCTGGCATGTGGTGTAAGGGTTGGATTAAGCAAATCTGATATTAGAGGCTGTGGCCATAAGAAAGCTAAGCTGAAATTTGATTCTCATTGCTTGAGGACCTGAACCAAATCCTATAGATAAAACAGTAATGCAATTTCAAGTAGTCCTAATCACTAGGAACACATCCATTCCAGACTTTCTATACTGGCCTTACCATAACAGTCCAGTACCAGGCCTCATTAGCCACCACCTTGCTTTGTCTACTCAAGTCAAAACAGTCTCCCCAGTGGCATGAGATGTACAGAGTTCATTCTGCATTGGTATGTTTAGAGAATTTGTTCCTATATCCCCTTCCACTGATCCATGCAATGTCTGGCATACAACTGGTTCTCTCCAGATGTTTGTTGCATGAAGAAGTGAATGAATAAACGAACAAACAGATCCCAAGCCTTGCCCAAGTCTTTACTTCTCCATGGCAACATTCTATAAACTTTGGACCACTACACTCACTCCCTAGCCTGACTTACATTGCATCCAGCTATAGTATAGTTTGCCACTAAATACCCATCTTGCATTTTCTTCTTTTCTTATTTCAAGTACATAAATCTTATTTTTCTAACTCAATTGCAATTCAGTCTCAGGCCGAGACCAAGTGAGGTTGTGTAACACTTCCATTCGCTTCAGCACCCAGTGCAGGGTTGGGTGCTGGGAAGATTTCAAGAAGTTTCTTCTGAATGAAAATGAATTCGGACAGCTATTCGAAGTCTTATGGTTCAAACTACTCCAACTGCAGCTCCACCCACCCAGGCAGCCCCTGCCAAATTCACTGCCTGTCCTGAAGATTATAATCCAGCTCCTTGTGTCCACATGTGCCCCTCACTTTAGAAAAATAAAATAAAAAAGCTTTCAAAAGCAAAGAGCAAAGAAACCTAACCTGTCTGTTTACTTTTCCAGCACACAAAGCTGTTGCTCTCCTTTAGCCTTCTCCCCAGCAATACCTGCCACCCCCAACTCACAGTTCACTTTTCTGCTGAGTCTGGGAGATAACTGCGAGTCCTCCCATGATGCACCCCTGCCAACACGCGTGTGAGCACACGCACGCACTCCTGGAGTTGGGGACGCCAAGGCAAGGTGAAAACGTTTTGCCTTGTCACATTCCAGCAGTCAGCGACTCCTCCTGAGGGGGCGGGCACACAATGAACACTCTGTACTTGGCTCAGGCCTCCAGTCCAACAAATGTTAACCCTTCCTTGGCTGCCTGCGGGACTTGGGCAGGGATGGGGTGCAGCGAGGGAGGACAGGTTGGAATGTTAAAACTTGCTTAGGAAATAACTGCCTACCAGGAGCCAAGGAAATAGAGGGGTAAAGAAGGAGACACCAATGTGCTTGGAAAGAACACTGAGACAGAAGTGCAGAAGGTTGGTCTCTACTGGACATTCACAGGCAGTGAGATGCTGGTCAAGCCACTCTGAGTACCTTATCCTATACTTACCTCAGTGATTAATAGGGCAGGACCAATGTCTCTTCTATACTCAACACTTCATAATTTTGCCCTGCACAGTCATAGACCTACGGGGACATTCCAAAGTGAATAGTGTGAACCTACAGAATTATTTGTCTGAATGGACAAGGGAATCCTGCTTGGCTCATATCCCTATCTATGCCTCATATCCAATGAGTCCCAACGAGTACATCCTCCCTCCTCTCCAAATCTGCAAGATGGAAGAATTTTTCCTAGTTTAAAATATATTCACCTGCTGCCTGGGGAACTCTCACTTACCCTAGAGCCTGGTGGAAGTGCAAATTCTTGAGCCCCACTTGCTGAACTAGGGTTCCAGGGTGGGGCCCAGCACTCTGGCTTTTACAGATGGTTCTGATGAGCTAGAATCTGAGAATCAGTACTTTAGATTTTGCCTGTTCTGTGTGCTTACCCTGTCATGTGCCTAGACCATAGGCACTATTATTCTGCATTTAAAGGTACTTCTCCCTTATAGTAGTGCTGAGTATCTTGAGAACGAGCATTAGTCACATTTTACTTATCCATGCAATCCCTATGCTCAGCACAGTGCCCAACACATAGTGGACATTCAAGAACTGTTGGCTTGGGCCGGCCCGGTGGCGCACTCCTACAGTGCG